CGTGAAGTGGACCTGTACGTGGACGTGGACATGGACGTGGACCTGGTCGTGGACGTGGACGTGGACGTGGACGTGGACGTGGACATGGACGTGGACGTGGACGTGGACGTGGACGTGGACATGGTCGTGGACGTGGACGTGGAAGTGGACGTGGTCGTGGTCGTGGTCGTGGTCGTGGACATGGACGTGGACGTGGACGTGGACGTGGACGTGGACGTGGACGTGGTCGTGGACGTGGACGTGGACGTGGACGTAGACGTGGACGTGGACGTGGACGTGGACATGGACGTGTACATGGAAGTGGACGTGGACGTGGACGTGGACATGGACGTGGACATGGACATGGACGTGGACGTGGACGTGGACGTGGACATGGTCGTGCACGTGGACGTGGACATGGACATGGACGTGGACGTGGATGTCGACATGGACGTGGACGTGGACGTGGAGTGGACGTGGACCTGGACGACGTGGACGTGGACGTGACATGGACGTGGACGTGGACGTGGACGTGGACGTGGACGTGGACGTGGACGTGGACGTGGACGTGGACGTGGACGTGGACGTGGACATGGACGTGGACGTGGACGTGGACGTGGACGTGGACGTGGACGTGGACCTGGACATGGACGTGGACATGGACGTGGACGTGGACGTGGACGTGGACGTGGACGTGGACGTGGACGTGGACATGGACGTGGACGTGGACGTGGACGTGGACGTGGTCGTGGACGTGGACGTGGACGTGGACATGGAAGTGGACGTGGACGTGGACGTGGACATAGACGTGGACGTGGACATGGACGTGGACATGGACGTGGACGTGGACGTGGACGAGGACATGGACGTGGACGTGGACGTGGACGTGGACGTGGACATGGACGTGGACGTGGACGTGGACATGGACGTGGACATGGACATGGACGTGGACGTGGACGTGGACGTGGACGTGGACGTGGTCGTGGACGTGGACGTCGACGTGGACATGGACGTGGACGTGGACGTGGACGTGGACATGGACGTGGACGTGGACGTGGACGTGGACGTGGACGTGGACATGGACGTGGACGTGGACGTGGACGTGGACATGGACGTGGACGTGGACGTGGACGTGGACATGGACGTGGACGTGGACGTGCATGTGGACGTGGACATGGACGTGGACGTGGACGTGGACATGGACGTGGATATGGACGTGGACGTGGACTTGGACGTGGACGTGGACATGGACGTGGACATGGACGTGGACGTGGACGTGGACGTGGACGTGGACCTGGACGTGGACATGGACGTGGACATGGACGTGGACGTGGACATGGACGTGGAAGTGGACATGGACATGGACATGGAGTGGACGTGGACGTGGACGTGGACGTGGACATGGACGTGGACGTGGACGTGGACGTGGACATGGACATGGACATGGACGTGGACGTGGACGTGGACGTGGACGTGGACGTGGACGTCGACATGGACGTGGACGTGGACATGGACGTGGACGTGGACATGGCGTGGACGTGGACGTGGACGTGGACGTGACGTGGACATGGACGTGGACGTGGACATGGACGTGGACGTGGACGTGGACGTGGTCGTGGACGTGGACGTGGACATGGACGTGGACGTGGACGTGGACGTGGACATGGACGTGGACGTGGACGTGGACGTGGACATGGACGTGGACGTGGACGTGGACGTGGACATGGACGTGGACGTGGACGTGGACGTGGACATGGACATGGACATGGACGTGGACGTGGAACGTGGAGACGTGGACCTGGACATGGACGTGGACATGGACGTGGACGTGGACGTGGACGTGGACGTGGACCTGGACGTGGACATGGACGTGGACATGGACGTGGACGTGGACATGGACGTGGACGTGGACGTGGACATGGACATGGACGTGGACGTGACGTGACGTGGACGTGGACATGGACGTGGACGTGGACGTGGACGTGGACATGGACGTGGACATGGACGTGGACGTGGACGTGGACGTGGACGTGGACTGGACGTGGACGTCGACATGGACGTGGACGTGGACATAGACGTGACGTGGACATGGACGTGGACGTGGACGTGGACGTGGACGTGGACGTAGACGTGGACGTGGACATGGACGTGGACGTGGACGTGGACGTCGACGTGGACGTGGACGTGGACGTGGACGTGGACGTGGACATGGACGTGGACGTGGACGTGGACATGGACGTGGACGTAAACGTGGACATGGACGTGGACGTGGACATGGACGTGGACGTGGACGGTGACGTGGACGTGGACATGGACGTGGACATGGACGTGGACGTGGACGTGGACGTGGACGTGGACGTGTCGTGGACGTGGACGTGGACGTGGACATGGACGTGGACGTGGACGTCGACGTGGACATGGACGTGGACTGGACATGGACGTGGACGTGGACATGGACGTGGACGTGGACGTGGACATGGTTGTGGACATGGACGTGGACGTGGACGTGGACATGGACGTGGACATGGACGTGGACGTGGACGTGGACGTGGACGTGGACGTGGACATGGACGTGGACGTGGACGTGGACGTGGACGTGACGTGGACATGGACGTGGACGTGGACGTGGACGTGGACGTGGTCGTGGACGTGGACGTGGACGTGGACGTGGACGGGACGTGGACGTGGACGTGGACGTGGACGTGGACGTGGACGTGGACGTGGACATGGACATGGACGTGGACGTGGACGTGGACTGGACGTGAACTGGACGTGGACGTGGACGTGGACGTGGACGTGGACGTGGACGTGGACGTGGACGTGGACGTGGACATGGACGTGGACATGGACGTGGACGTGGACGTGGACATGGACGTGGACGTGGACGTGGACGTGGACGTGGACGTGAACATGGACGTGGACGTGGACATGGACATGGACGTGGATGGACGTGGACATGGACGTGGACGTGGACGTGGACATGGACGTGGACGTGGACGTGGACGTGGACGTGGACCTGGACGTGGACATGGACATGGACGTGGACGTGGACGTGGACGTGGACGTGGACGTGGACGTGGACGTGGACGTGGACATGGACGTGGACGTGGACATGGACGTGGACGTGGACATGGACGTGGACGTGGACGTGGACGTGGACGTGGACGTGGACGTGGACGTGGACGTGGACGTGGACGTGGACGTGGACGTGGACGTGGACGTGGACGTGGACATGGACGTGGACGTGGACGTGGACATGGACGTGGACATGGACGTGGACGTGGACGTGGACGTGGACGTGGACGTGGACGTGGACATGGACGTGGACATGGACGTGGACGTGGACGTGGACGTGGACGTGGACGTGGACGTGGACGTGGACATGGACGTGGACGTGGACGTGGACGTGGACGTGGACGTGGACGTGGACGTGGACATGGACGTGGACGTGGACGTGGACGTGGACGTGGACGTGGACATGGACGTGGACGTGGACGTGGACGTGGACGTGGACGTGGACGTGGACATGGACGTGGACGTGGACATGGACGTGGACGTGGACGTGGACATGGACGTGGACGTGGACCTGGACGTGGACGTGGACATGGACGTGGACATGGACGTGGACGTGGACGTGGACGTGGACATGGACGTGGACGTGGACGTGGACGTGGACGTGGACATGGACGTGGACGTGGACGTGGACGTGGACATGGACTGGACATGGACGTGGACGTGGACGTGGACGTGGACATGGACGTGGACATGGACATGGACATGGACGTGGACGTGGACGTGGACGTGGACGTGGACTTGGACGTGGACATGGACGTGGACGTGGACGTGGACATGGACGTGGACATGGACGTGGACGTGGACGTGGACATGGACGTGGACGTGGACGTGGACGTGGACGTGGACGTGGACATGGACGTGGACGTGGACGTGGACGTGGACATGGACGTGGACGTGGACGTGGACGTGGACGTGGACGTGGACATGGACGTGGACGTGGACGTGGACATGGACGTGGACATGGACATGGACGTGGACGTGGACGTGGACGTGGACGTGGACATGGACATGGACGTGGACGTGGACGTGGACGTGGACGTGGACGTGGACGTGGACGTGGACGTGGACGTGGACGTGGACATGGACGTGGACGTGGACGTGGACGTGGACGTGGACGTGGAAATGGACGTGGACGTGGACATGGACGTGGACGTGGACGTGGACGTGGACATGGACGTGGAAGTGGACCTGGACGTGGACGTGGACATGGACGTGGACATGGTCGTGGACGTGGACGTGGACGTGGACGTGGACGTGGACGTGGACATGGACGTGGACGTGGACGTGGACGTGGACGTGGACATGGACGTGGACGTGGACGTGGAAGTGGACGTGGACGTGGACGTGGTCGTGGACATGGACGTGGACGTGGACGTGGACGTGGACGTGGACGTGGACGTGGTCGTGGACGTGGACGTGGACGTGGACGTAGACGTGGACGTGGACGTGGACGTGGACGTGGACATGGACATGGACATGGAAGTGGACGTGGACGTGGACGTGGACATGGACATGGACGTGGACGTGGACGTGGACGTGGACGTGGACGTGGACATGGACGTGGACGTGGACGTGGACGTGGACATGGACGTGGACGTGGATGTGGACATGGACGTGGACCTGGACGTGGACGTGGACGTGGACATGGACGTGGACGTGGACGTGGACGTGGACATGGACGTGGACGTGGACGTGGACATGGACGTGGACGTGGACGTGGACGTGGACGTGGACGTGGACGTGGACGTGGACGTGGACGTGGACGTGGACGTGGACGTGGACGTGGACGTGGACATGGACGTGGACGTGGACGTGGACATGGACGTGGACATGGACGTGGACGTGGACGTGGACGTGGACGTGGACGTGGACGTGGACATGGACGTGGACATGGACGTGGACGTGGACGTGGACGTGGACGTGGACGTGGACGTGGACGTGGACGTGGACGTGGACGTTGGACGTGGAAGGGGACGTGGACGTGGGACGGGGACGTGGAGGGACGTGGACATGACGTGACGTGGACATGGACATGGACATGGAAGTGGACGTGGACGTGGACGTGGACGAGGACATGGACGTGGACGTGGACGTGGACCGTGGACATGGTCGTAGACGTGGACGTGGACATGGACGTGGACATGGACATGGACGTGGACGTGGACGTGGACGTGGACGTGGTCGTGGACGTGGACGTGGACGTGGACATGGACGTGGACGTGGACGTGGACGTGGACATGGACGTGGACGTGGACGTGGACGTGGACGTGGACCTGGACATGGACATGGATATGGACGTGGACGTGGACTAGGACATGGACCTGGACATGGACGTGGACATGGACGTGGACGTGGACGTGGACGTGGACGTGGTCCTGGACGTGGACATGGACGTGGACATGGACGTGCATGTGGACATGGACGTGAAAGTAGACATGGACATGGACATGGAAGTGGACGTGGACGTGGACGTGGACGTGGACATGGACGTGGACTTGGACGTGGACATGGACGTGGACATGGACGTGGACGTGGACGTGGACGTGGACGTGGTCGTGGACGTGGACGTGGACGTCGACATGGACGTGGACGTGGATATAGACGTGGACGTGGACGTGGACGTGGACGTGGACGTGGACGTGGACGTGGACGTGGACATGGACGTGGACATGGACATGGACGTGGACGTGGACGTGGACGTGGTCTTGGACGTGGACATGGACGTGGACGTGGACGTGGACGTCGACATGGACGTGGACGTGGACGTGGACGTGGACATGGACGTGGACGTGGACGTGGACGTGGACATGGACGTGGACGTAGACGTGGACGTAAACATGGACGTGGACGTGGACGTGGACGTGGACATGGACGTGGACGTGGACCTGGACATGGACATGGATATGGACGTGGACGTGGACGTGGACGTGGACCTGGACATGGACGTGGACATGGACGTGGACGTGGACGTGGACGTGGACGTGGACGTGGTCCTGGACGTGGACATGGACGTAGACATGGACGTGGACGTGGACATGGACGTGAAAGTAGACATGGACATGGACATGGAAGTGGACGTGGACGTGGACGTGGACATGGACGTGGACGTGGACGTGGACGTGGACATGGACGTGGACATGGACGTGGACGTGGACGTGGACGTGGACGTGGACGTGGTCGTGGACGTCGACGTGGACGTCGACATGGACGTGGACGTGGACATAGACGTGGACGTGGACATAGACGTGGACGTGGACGTGGACGTGGACGTGGACGTGGACGTAGACGTGGACGTGGACATGGACGTGGACGTGGTCGTGGACGTGGACGTGGACGTGGACGTGGACGTGGACGTGGACGTGGACGTGGACATGGACGTGGACGTGGATGTGGACATGGACGTGGACGTAAACGTGGACATGGACGTGGACATGGACATGGACGTGGACGTGGACGTGGACGTGGACGTGGACGTGGACGTGGACATGGACGTGGACATGGACGTGGACGTGGACGTGGACGTGGACGTGGTCGTGGACGTGGACGTGGACGTGGACATAGACGTGGACGTGGACGTGGACGTCGACGTGGACATAGACGTGGACGTGGACATGGACGTGGACGTGGACATGGACGTGGACGTGGACGTGGACGTGGACATGGTTGTGGACATGGACCTGGACGTGGACGTGGACATGGACGTTGACATGGTCGTGGACGTGGACGTGGACGTGGACGTGGACGTGGACATGGACGTGGACGTGGACATGGACGTGGACGTGGACGTGGACGTGGACATGGACGTGGACGTGGACCTGGACATGGACGTGGACATGGACGTGGACGTGGACGTGGTCCTGGACGTGGACATGGACGTGGACATGGACGTGCATGTGGACATGGACGTGAAAGTAGACATGGACATGGACATGGACATGGAAGTGGACGTGGACGTGGACGTGGACGTGGACATGGACGTGGACATGGACATGGACATGGACGTGGACATGGACGTGGACGTAGACGTGGACGTGGTCGTGGACGTGGACGTGGACGTCGACATGGACGTGGACGTGGACATAGACGTGGACGTGGACGTGGACGTGGACGTGGACATGGACGTGGACATGGACATGGACGTGGACGTGGACGTGGACGTGGTCGTGGACGTGGACGTGGACATGGACGTGGACGTGGACGTGGACATGGACGTGGACGTGGACGTGGACGTAGACGTGGACATGGACGTGGACGTGGACGTGGACATGGACGTGGACGTAGACGTGGACGTAAACATGGACGTGGACGTGGACGTGGACGTGGACATGGACGTGGACGTGGACCTGGACATGGACATGGATATGGACGTGGACGTGGACGTGGACGTGGACCTGGACATGGACGTGGACATGGACGTGGACGTGGACGTGGACGTGGACGTGGACGTGGTCCTGGACGTGGACATGGACGTAGACATGGACGTGGACGTGGACATGGACGTGAAAGTAGACATGGACATGGACATGGAAGTGGACGTGGACGTGGACGTGGACGTGGACATGGACGTGGACGTGGACGTGGACGTGGACGTGGACGTGGACATGGACGTGGACGTGGACGTGGACGTGGACGTGGACGTGGACGTGGACGTCGACATGGACGTGGACGTGGACATAGACGTGGACGTGGACATAGACGTGGACATGGACGTGGACGTGGACGTGGACGTGGACGTAGACGTGGACGTGGACATGGACGTGGACGTGGTCGTGGACGTGGACGTGGACGTGGACGTGGACGTGGACGTGGACGTGGACGTGGACGTGGACGTGGACATGGACGTGGACGTGGACGTGGACGTGGTCGTGGACGTGGACGTGGACGTGGACATGGACGTGGACGTGGACGTGGACGTCGACGTGGACATGGACGTGGACGTGGACATGGACGTGGACGTGGACATGGACGTGGACGTGGACGTGGACGTGGACATGGTTGTGGACATGGACCTGGACGTGGACGTGGACATGGACGTTGACATGGTCGTGGACGTGGACGTGGACGTGGACGTGGACATGGACGTGGACGTGGACGTGGACGTGGACGTGGACATGGTCGTGGACGTGGACGTGGAAGTGGACGTGGTCGTGGTCGTGGACGTGGACGTAGATGTGGACGTGGACGTGGACGTGGACGTGGTCGTGGACGTGGACGTGGACGTGGACATGGACGTGGACGTGGACATGGACATGGACGTGGACGTGGACGTGGACATGGACGTGGACGTGGACGTGGACGTGAACATGGACGTGGACGTGGACATGGACATGGACGTGGACATGGACATGGACGTGGACGTGGACATGGACATGGACGTGGACGTGGACGTGGACGTGGACGTGGTCGTGGACGTGGACGTGGACGTGGACGTGGACGTGGACGTGGACGTGGACGTGGACATGGACGTGGACGTGGACGTGGACGTGGACGTGGACGTGGACGTGGACCTGGACATGGACATGGATATGGACGTGGACATGGACTAGGACGTGGACCTGGACATGGACGTGGACATGGACGTGGACGTGGACGTGGACGTGGACGTGGTCCTGGACGTGGACATGGACGTGGACATGGACGTGCATGTGGACATGGACGTGAAAGTAGACATGGACATGGACATGGAAGTGGACGTGGACGTGGACGTGGACGTGGACATGGACGTGGACGTGGACGTGGACATGGACGTGGACATGGACGTGGACGTGGACGTGGACGTGGTCGTGGACGTGGACGTGGACGTCGACATGGACGTGGACGTGGACATAGACGTGGACGTGGACGTGGACGTGGACGTGGACGTGGACATGGACGTGGACATGGACATGGACGTGGACGTGGACGTGGACGTGGTCGTGGACGTGGACATGGACGTGGACGTGGACGTGGACGTGGACATGGACGTGGACGTGGACGTGGACGTGGACATGGACGTGGACGTGGACGTGGACGTGGACATGGACGTGGACGTAGACGTGGACGTAAACATGGACGTGGACGTGGACGTGGACGTGGACATGGACGTGGACGTGGACCTGGACATGGACATGGATATGGACGTGGACGTGGACGTGGACGTGGACCTGGACATGGACGTGGACATGGACGTGGACGTGGACGTGGACGTGGACGTGGACGTGGTCCTGGACGTGGACATGGACGTAGACATGGACGTGGACGTGGACATGGACGTGAAAGTAGACATGGACATGGACATGGAAGTGGACGTGGACGTGGACGTGGACGTGGACATGGACGTGGACGTGGACGTGGACGTGGACATGGACGTGGACATGGACGTGGACGTGGACGTGGACGTGGACGTGGACGTGGTCGTGGACGTGGACGTGGACGTCGACATGGACGTGGACGTTAACATAGACGTGGACGTGGACATAGACGTGGACGTGGACGTGGACGTGGACGTGGACGTAGACGTGGACGTGGACATGGACGTGGACGTGGTCGTGGACGTGGACGTGGACGTGGACGTGGACGTGGACGTGGACGTGGACGTGGACGTGGACGTGGACATGGACCTGGACGTGGACGTGGACATGGACGTGGACGTAAACGTGGACATGGACGTGGACATGGACATGGACGTGGACGTGGACGTGGACGTGGACGTGGACGTGGACGTGGACATGGACGTGGACATGGACGTGGACGTGGACGTGGACGTGGACGTGGACGTGGTCGTGGACGTGGACGTGGACGTAAACATGGACGTGGACGTGGACGTGGACGTCGACGTGGACATAGACGTGGACGTGGACATGGACGTGGACGTGGACATGGACGTGGACGTGGACATGGTTGTGGACATGGACCTGGACGTGGACGTGGACATGGACGTTGACATGGTCGTGGACGTGGACGTGGACGTGGACGTGGACGTGGACATGGACGTGGACGTGGACATGGACGTGGACGTGGACGTGGACGTGGACATGGACGTGGACGTGGACCTGGACATGGACGTGGACATGGACGTGGACGTGGACGTGGTCCTGGACGTGGACATGGACGTGGACATGGACGTGCATGTGGACATGGACGTGAAAGTAGACATGGACATGGACATGGAAGTGGACGTGGACGTGGACGTGGACGTGGACATGGACGTGGACATGGACATGGACATGGACGTGGACATGGACGTGGACGTGGACGTGGACGTGGACGTGGTCGTGGACGTGGACGTGGACGTCGACATGGACGTGGACGTGGACATAGACGTGGACGTGGACGTGGACGTGGACATGGACGTGGACATGGACATGGACGTGGACGTGGACGTGGACGTGGTCGTGGATGTGGACGTGGACATGGACGTGGACGTGGACGTGGACATGGACGTGGACGTGGACGTGGACGTGGACGTGGACATGGACGTGGACGTGGACGTGGACGTGGACATGGACGTGGACATAGACGTGGACGTAAACATGGACGTGGACGTGGACGTGGACGTGGACATGGACGTGGACGTGGACCTGGACATGGACATGGATATGGACGTGGACGTGGACGTGGACGTGGACCTGGACATGGACGTGGACATGGACGTGGACGTGGACGTGGACGTGGACGTGGAAGTGGTCCTGGACGTGGACATGGACGTAGACATGGACGTGGACGTGGACATGGACGTGAAAGTAGACATGGACATGGACATGGAAGTGGACGTGGACGTGGACGTGGACGTGGACATGGACGTGGACGTGGACGTGGACGTGGACATGGACGTGGACATGGACGTGGACGTGGACGTGGACGTGGACGTGGTCGTGGACGTGGACGTGGACGTCGACATGGACGTGGACGTGGACATAGACGTGGACGTGGACATAGACGTGGACGTGGACGTGGACGTGGACGTGGACGTGGACGTAGACGTGGACGTGGACATGGACGTGGACGTGGTCGTGGACGTGGACGTGGACGTGGACGTGGACGTGGACGTGGACGTGGACGTGGACATGGACGTGGACGTGGACGTGGACGTGGACGTGGACGTGGACATGGACGTGGACGTGGACGTGGACGTGGACATGGACGTAGACGTGGACGTGGACGTGGACATGGACGTGGACGTGGACCTGGACGTGGACATGGACATGGACGTGGACGTGGACGTGGACGTGGACATGGACGTGGACGTGGACATGGACGTGGACGTGGACGTGGACGTGGACGTGGACATGGACGTGGACGTGGACGTGGACATGGACGTAGACGTGGACATGGACGTGGACGTGGACGTGGACGTGGACGTGGACGTGGACGTGGACGTGGACATGGACGTGGACGTGGACGTGGACGTAGACGTGGACGTGGACATGGACATGGACATGGACGTGGACGTGGACATGGACGTGGACGTGGACGTGGACGTGGACATGGACGTGGACGTGGACGTGGACGTGGACATGGACGTAGACGTGGACATGGACATGGACGTGGACGTGGACGTGGACGTGGACATGGACGTGGACATGGACGTGGACGTGGACGTGGACGTGGTCGTGGACGTGGACGTGGACGTGGACATGGAAGTGGACGTGGACGTGGACGTGGACATGGAAGTGGACGTGGACGTGGACATGGACGTGGACATGGACATGGACATGGACGTGGACGTGGACGTGGTCGTGGACGTGGACGTGGTCCTGGACGTGGACGTGGCCATGGACGTGGACGTGGACATGGACGTGGACATGGACATGGACGTGGACGTGGACGTGGTCGTGGACGTGGACGTGGTCCTGGACGTGGACATGGACGTGGACATGGACGTGGATGTGGACATGGACGTGAAAGTAGACATGGACATGGACATGGAAGTGGACGTGGACGTGGACGTGGACATGGACGTGGACGTGGACATGGACGTGGACATGGACGTGGACGTGGACGTGGACGTGGTCGTGGACGTGGACGTCGACATGGACGTGGACGTGGACATAGACGTGGACGTGGACGTGGACGTGGACGTGGACGTGGACATGGACGTGGACATGGACATGGACGTGGACGTGGACGTGGACGTGGTCGTGGACGTGGACGTGGACGTGGACGTGGACGTGGACGTGGACATGGACGTGGACGTGGACGTGGACATGGACGTGGACGTGGACGTGGACGTGGACATGGACGTGGACGTAGACGTGGACGTAAACATGGACGTGGACGTGGACGTGGACGTGGACATGGACGTGGACGTGGACCTGGACATGGACATGGATATGGACGTGGATGTGGACGTGGACGTGGACCTGGACATGGACGTGGACATGGACGTGGACGTGGACGTGGACGTGGACGTGGTCCTGGACGTGGACATGGACGTGGACATGGACGTGGACGTGGACATGGACGTGAAAGTAGACATGGACATGGACATGGAAGTGGACGTGGACGTGGACGTGGACGTGGACATGGACGTGGACGTGGACGTGGACGTGGACATGGACGTGGACATGGACGTGGACGTGGACGTGGACGTGGACGTGGTCGTGGACGTGGACGTGGACGTCGACATGGACGTGGACGTGGACATAGACGTGGACGTGGACATAGACGTGGACGTGGACGTGGACGTGGACGTAGACGTGGACGTGGACATGGACGTGGACGTGGTCGTGGACGTGGACGTGGACGTGGACGTGGACGTGGACGTGGACGTGGACATGGACCTGGACGTGGACGTGGACATGGACGTAAACGTGGACATGGACGTGGACATGGACATGGACGTGGACGTGGCGTGGACGTGGACGTGGACGTGGACATAGACGTGGACATGGACGTGGACGTGGACGTGGACGTGGACGTGGACGTGGTCGTGGACGTGGACGTGGACGTGGACATGGACGTGGACGTGGACGTGGACGTCGACGTGGACATGGACGTGGACGTGGACATGGACGTGGACGTGGACATGGACGTGGACGTGGATGTGGACGTGGACATGGTTGTGGACATGGACCTGGACGTGGACGTGGACATGGACGTTGACATGGTCGTGGACGTGGACGTGGACGTGGACGTGGACGTGGACATGGACGTGGACGTGGACGTGGACGTGGACATGGTCGTGGACGTGGACGTGGAAGTGGACGTGGTCGTGGTCGTGGACGTGGACGTGGATGTGGACGTGGACGTGGACGTGGACGTGGTCGTGGACGTGGACGTGGACGTGGACATGGACGTGGACGTGGACATGGACATGGACGTGGACGTGGACGTGGACATGGACGTGGACGTGGACGTGGACGTGGACGTGAACATGGACGTGGACGTGGACATGGACATGGACGTGGACATGGACATGGACGTGGACGTGGACATGGACGTGGACATGGACGTGGACGTGGACGTGGACGTGGAAATGGACGTGGACATGGACATGGACGTGGACGTGGACGTGGACGTGGACATGGTCGTGGAAGTGGACCTGGACGTGGACGTGGACATGGACGTGGACATGGTCGTGGACGTGGACGTGGACGTGGACGTGGATGTGGACATGGACGTGGACGTGGACGTGGACGTGGACATGGTCGTGGACGTGGACGTGGAAGTGGACGTGGTCGTGGTCGTGGTCGTGGACATGGACGTGGACGTGGACGTGGACGTGGACATGGACGTCGACGTGGACGTGGTCGTGGACGTGGACGTGGACGTGGACGTAGACGTGGACGTGGACGTGGACGTGGACATAGACGTGGACATGGAAGTGGACGTGGACGTGGACGTGGACGTGGACGTAGACATGGACATGGACGTGGACGTGGACGTGGACATGGTCGTGGACGTGGACGTGGACGTCGACATGGACGTGGACGTGGATGTGGACATGGACGTGGACGTGGACATGGTCGTGGACGTGGACGTGGACGGGACGTGGACGTAGACGTGGACGTGGACATGGACGTGGACGTGGTCGTGGACGTGGACGTGGACGTGGACGTGGACGTGGACGTGGACATGGACGTGGACGTGGACGTGGACATGGACGTGGACGTAAACGTGGACATGGACGTGGACATGGACATGGACGTGGACGTGGACGTGGACGTGGACGTGGACATGGACGTGGACATGGACGTGGACGTGGACGTGGACGTGGACGTGGTCGTGGACGTGGACGTGGACGTGGACATGGACGTGGACGTGGACGTGGACGTCGACGTGGACATGGACGTGGACGTGGACATGGACGTGGACGTGGACATGGACGTGGACGTGGACGTGGACATGGTTGTGGACATGGACCTGGACGTGGACGTGGACATGGACGTGGACATGGTCGTGGACGTGGACGTGGACGTGGACGTGGACGTGGACATGGACGTGGACGTGGACGTGGACGTGGACGTGGACGTGGACATGGTCGTGGACGTGGACGTGGAAGTGGACGTGGTCGTGGTCGTGGACATGGACGTGGACGTGGACGTGGACGTGGACGTGGTCGTGGACGTGGACGTGGACGTGGACATGGACGTGGACGTGGACGTGGACGTGGACATGGACGTGGACATGGACGTGGACGTGGACGTGGACATGGACGTGGATGTGGACGTGGACGTGGACGTGGACATGGACATGGACGTGGACATGGACATGGACGTGGACGTGGACGTGGACATGGACGTGGACGTGGACGTGGACGTGGACGTGAACATGGACGTGGACGTGGACATGGACATGGACGTGGACATGGACATGGACATGGACGTGGACGTGGACATGGACGTGGCCGTGGACGTGGACGTGGTCCTGGACGTGGACATGGATGTGGACATGGACGTGGACGTGGACATGGACGTGAAAGTAGACATGGACATGGACATGGAAGTGGACGTGGACGTGGACGTGGACGTGGACATGGACGTGGACGTGGACGTGGACGTGGACATGGACGTGGACATGGACGTGGACGTGGACGTGGACGTGGACGTGGACGTGGACGTCGACATGGACGTGGACGTGGACATAGACGTGGACGTGGACATGGACGTGGACGTGGACGTGGACATAGACGTGGACATGGACATGGACGTGGACGTGGACATAGACGTGGACGTGGACGTGGACGTGGACGTGGACGTAGACGTGGACATGGACATGGACGTGGACGTGGTCGTGGACGTGGACGTGGACGTGGACGTGGACGTGGACGTGGACATGGACGTGGACGTGGACATGGACGTGGACGTAAACGTGGACATGGACGTGGACATGGACATGGACGTGGACGTGGACGTGGACGTGGACGTGGACGTGGACATGGACGTGGACATGGACGTGGACGTGGACGTGGACGTGGACGTGAACGTGGTCGTTGACGTGGACGTGGACGTGGACATGGACGTGGACGTGGACGTGGACGTCGACGTGGACATGGACGTGGACGTGGACATGGACGTGGACGTGGACATGGACGTGGACGTGGACGTGGACGTGGACATGGTTGTGGACATGGACCTGGACGTGGACGTGGACATGGACGTGGACATGGTCGTGGACGTGGACGTGGACGTGGACGTGGACGTGGACATGGACGTGGACGTGGACGTGGACGTGGACATGGACGTGGACATGGTCGTGGACGTGGACGTGGAAGTGGACGTGGTCGTGGTCGTGGACATGGACGTGGACGTGGACGTGGACGTGGACGTGGTCGTGGACGTGGACGTGGACGTGGACATGGACGTGGACGTGGACGTGGACGTGGACATGGACGTGGACATGGACGTGGACGTGGACGTGGACATGGACGTGGACGTGGACGTGGACGTGGACGTGGACATGGACATGGACGTGGACATGGACATGGACGTGGACGTGGACGTGGACATGGACGTGGACGTGGACGTGGACGTGGACGTGGACGTGAACATGGACGTGGACGTGGACATGGACATGGACGTGGACATGGACATGGACGTGGACGTGGACGTGGACGTGGACATGGACATGGACATGGACGTGGACGTGGTCGTGGACGTGGACGTGGACGTGGACGTGGACGTGGACGTCGACGTGGACATGGACGTGGACGTGGACGTGGACGTGGATGTGGACGTGGACATGGACGTGGACGTGGACGTGGACGTGGACATGGTCGTGGAAGTGGACCTGGACGTGGACGTGGACATGGACGTGGACATGGTCGTGGACGTGGACGTGGACGTGGACGTGGACGTGGATGTGGACATGGACGTGGACGTGGACGTGGACGTGGACGTGGACATGGTTGTGGACGTGGACGTGGAAGTGGACGTGGTCGTGGTCGTGGACATGGACGTGGACGTGGACGTGGACGTGGATGTCGACGTGGTCGTGGACGTGGACGTGGACGTGGACGTAGACGTGGACGTGGACGTGGACGTGGACGTGGACATGGACGTGGAAATGGAAGTGGACGTGGACGTGGACGTGGACATGGACGTGGACATGGACATGGACGTGGACGTGGTCGTGGACATGGTCGTGGACGTGGACGTGGACGTCGACATGGACGTGGACGTGGACGTGGACGTGGATGTGGACATGGACGTGGACGTGGACGTGGACGTGGACGTGGACATGGACGTGGACGTGGACGTGGACGTGGACGTGGACGTGGACATGGACGTGGACGTGGACGTGGACGTGGACATGGACGTAGACGTGGACGTGGACGTGGACATGGACGTGGACGTGGACCTGGACATGGACGTGGACATGGACGTGGACGTGGACGTGGACGTGGACGTGGACATGGACGTGGACATGGACGTGGACGTGGACGTGGACGTGGTCGTGGACGTGGACGTGGACGTGGACATGGACGTGGACGTGGACATGGAAGTGGACGTGGACGTGGACGTGGACATGGACGTGGACGTGGACATGGACATGGACATGGAAGTGGACGTGGACGTGGACGTGGACGAGGACATGGACGTGGACGTGGACGTGGACATGGACATGGACATGGACGTGGACGTGGACATGGAAGTGGACGTGGACGTGGACGTGGACATGGACGTGGACGTGGACATGGACATGGACATGGAAGTGGACGTGGACGTGGACGTGGACGAGGACATGGACGTGGACGTGGACATGGACGTGGACATGGACATGGACGTGGACGTGGACGTGGATGTGGACGTAGACATGGACATGGACGTGGACGTGGACATGGTCGTGGACGTGGACGTGGACGTGGTCGTGGACGTGGACGTAGACGTGGACATGGACGTGGACGTGGACGTGGACGTGGACGTGGACATGGACGTGGACGTGGACGTGGACATGGACGTGGACGTGGATGTGGACGTGAACGTGGACGTGGACGTGGACCTGGACGTGGACATGGAAGTGGACGTGGACGTGGACGTGGACATGGACGTGGACGTGGACGTGGACGTGGACGTGGACGTGGACGTGGACATGGACGTGGACATGGACGTGGACGTGGACGTGGACGTGGACATGGACGTAGACGTGGACGTGGACGTGGACATGGACGTGGACGTGGACCTGGACATGGACGTGGACATGGACGTAGACGTGGACGTGGACGTGGACGTGGACGTGGACCTGGACATGGACGTGGACATGGACGTGGACGTGGACATGGACATGGACATGGAAGTGGACGTGGACCTGGACGTGGACGAGGACATGGACGTGGACGTGGACGTGGACGTGGACATGGACGTGGACGTGGACGTGGACATGGACGTGGACATGGACATGGACGTGGACGTGGACGTGGACGTGGACGTGGACATGGACGTGGACGTGGACGTGGACATGGACGTGGACGTGGACGTGGACGTGGTCGTGGACGTGGACGTAGACGTGGACATGGACGTGGACGTGGACGTTGACGTGGACGTGGACATGGACGTGGACGTGGATGTGGACGTGAACGTGGACGTGGACGTGGACATGGACGTGGACATGGAAGTGGACGTGGACGTGGACGTGGACGTGGACATGGACGTGGACGTGGACGTGGACGTGGACGTGGACATGGACGTGGACGTGGACGTGGACATGGACGTGGACATAGACATGGACGTGGACGTGGACGTGGACGTGGACATGGACGTGGACGTGGACGTGGACGTGGACGTGGTCGTGGTCGTGGACGTGTACGTGGACGTGGACGTGGACGTGGACATGGACGTGGACGTGGACATGGACGTGGACGTGGACGTGGACATGGACGTGGACGTGGACCTGGACATGGTCGTGGACATGGACCTGGACGTGGACGTGGACATGGACGTGGACGTGGTCGTGGTCGTGGACGTGGACGTGGACGTGGACGTGGAAGTGGACGTGGACGTGGTCGTGGTCGTGGTCATGGACATGGACGTGGACGTGGACGTGGACGTGGACGTGCACGTCGACGTGGACGTGGTCGTGGACGTGGACGTGGACGTGGACGTAGACGTGGACGTGGACGTGGACGTGGACGTGGACATGGACGTGGACATGGAAGTGGACGTGGACGTGGACGTGGACATGGACGTGGACATGGACATGGACGTGGACGTGGACGTGGACGTGGACATGGTCGTGGACGTGGACGTGGACGTCGACATGGACGTGGACGTGGACGTGGACGTGGAGGTGGACATGGACGTGGACGTGGACGTGGACGTGGACGTGGACATGGACGTGGACGTGGACGTGGACATGGACGTGGACATAGACATGGACGTGGACGTGGACGTGGACGTGGACATGGTCGTGGACGTGGACGTGGACGTCGACATGGACGTGGACGTGGACGTGGACGTGGAGGTGGACATGGACGTGGACGTGGACGTGGACGTGGACGTGGACATGGACGTGGACGTGGACGTGGACGTGGACGTGGACGTGGACGTGGACATGGACGTGGACGTGGACGTGGACGTGGACATGGACGTAGACGTGGACGTGGACGTGGACATGGACGTGGACGTGGACCTGGACATGGACGTGGACATGGACGTGGACGTGGACGTGGACGTGGACGTGGACGTGGACATGGACGTGGACATGGACGTGGACGTGGACGTGGACGTGGTCGTGGACGTGGACGTGGACATGGACGTGGACGTGGACATGGAAGTGGACGTGGACGTGGACGTGGACATGGACGTGGACGTGGACATGGACATGGACATGGAAGTGGACGTGGACGTGGACGTGGACGAGGACATGGATGTGGATGTGGACGTGGACGTGGACATGGACGTGGACGTGGACGTGGACATGGACGTGGACATGGACATGGACGTGGACGTGGATGTGGACGTGAACATGGACATGGACGTGGACGTGGACATGGTCGTGGACGTGGACGTGGACGTGGTCGTGGACGTGGACGTAGACGTGGACATGGACGTGGACGTGGACGTGGACGTGGACGTGGACATGGACGTGGACGTGGACGTGGACGTGGACATGGACGTGGACGTGGATGTGGACGTGAACGTGGACGTGGACGTGGACATGGACGTGGACATGGAAGTGGACGTGGACGTGGACGTGGACATGGACGTGGACGTGGACGTGGACGTGGACATGGACGTGGACGTGGACGTGGACATGGACGTGGACATGGACATGGACGTGGACGTGGACGTGGACGTGGACGTGGACGTGGACATGGACGTGGACATGGACGTGGACGTGGACGTGGACGTGGACGTGGACGTGGACATGGACGTGGACATGGACGTGGACGTGGACGTGGACGTGGACATGGACGTAGACGTGGACGTGGACGTGGACATGGACGTGGACGTGGACCTGGACATGGACGTGGACATGGACGTAGACGTGGACGTGGACGTGGACGTGGACGTGGACCTGGACATGGACGTGGACATGGACGTGGACGTGGACATGGACATGGACATGGAAGTGGACGTGGACGTGGACGTGGACGAGGACATGGACGTGGACGTGGACGTGGACGTGGACATGGACGTGGACGTGGACGTGGACATGGACGTGGACATGGACATGGACGTGGACGTGGACGTGGACGTGGACATGGACGTGGACGTGGACGTGGACATGGACGTGGACGTGGACGTGGACGTGGTCGTGGACGTGGACGTAGACGTGGACATGGACGTGGACGTGGACGTTGACGTGGACGTGGACATGGACGTGGACGTGGATGTGGACGTGAACGTGGACGTGGACGTGGACATGGACGTGGACATGGAAATGGACGTGGACGTGGACGTGGACATGGACGTGGACGTGGACGTGGACGTGGACATGGACGTGGACGTGGACGTGGACATGGACGTGGACATGGACGTGGACGTGGACGTGGACGTGGACGTGAACATGGACGTGGACGTGGACGTGGACGTGGACGTGGACGTGGTCGTGGACGTGGACGTGGACGTGGACGTCGACGTGGACGTGGACGTGGACGTCGATGTGGACGTGGACGTGGACGTGGACATGGACGTGGACGTGGACATGGACGTGGACGTGGACGTGGACATGGACGTGGACGTGGACCTGGACATGGTCGTGGACATGGACCTGGACGTGGACGTGGACATGGACGTGGACGTGGTCGTGGTCGTGGACGTGGACGTGGACGTGGACGTGGACGTGGATGTGGACATGGACGTGGACGTGGACGTGGAAGTGGACGTGGACGTGGTCGTGGTCGTGGTCATGGACATGGACGTGGACGTGGACGTGGACGTGCACGTCGACGTGGACGTGGTCGTGGACGTGGACGTGGACGTGGACGTAGACCTGGACGTGGACGTGGACGTGGACATGGACGTGGACATGGAAGTGGACGTGGACGTGGACGTGGACGTGGACATAGACGTGGACGTGGTCGTGGACGTGGACGTGGACGTGGACGTGGACGTGGACGTGGATGTGGACGTGGACATGGACGTGGACATGGACGTGGACGTGGACGTGGACATGGACGTGGACATGGACGTGGACGTGGACGTGGACATGGACGTGGACGTGGACGTGGACGTGGACGTGGACCTGGACGTGGACATGGACGTGGACGTGGACGTGGACGTGGACATGGACGTGGACGTGGACGTGGACGTGGACGTGAACATGGACGTGGACGTGGACGTGGACATGGACGTGGACATGGACATGGACGTGGACGTGGACGTGGACGTGGACGTGGACATGGACGTGGACATGGACGTGGACGTGGTCGTGGACGTGGACGTGGTCGTGGACGTGGACGTGGACGTGGACGTCGACGTCGACGTGGACATGGACGTAGACGTGGACGTGGACGTGGACGTGGACGTGGAAATAGACGTGGACGTGGACATGGACGTGGACGTGGACATGGTCGTGGACGTGGACCTGGACGTGGACGTGGACATGGACGTGGACATGTTCGTAGACGTGGACGTGGACATGGACGTGGACGTGGACGTGGACGTGGACATGGTCGTGGACGTGGACGTGGAAGTGGACGTGGTCGTGGTCGTGGTCGTGGACATGGACGTGGACGTGGACGTGGACGTGGACGTGGACGTCGACGTGGACGTGGTCGTGGACGTGGACGTCGACGTGGACGTGGACGTGGACGTAGACGTGGACGTGGACGTGGACATGGACGTGGACGTGGACGTGGACGTGGATGTGGACGTGGACGTGGACATGGACGTGGACGTGGACATGGACGTGGACGTGGACGTGGACGTGGACGTGGACGTGGACGTGGACATAGACGTGGACGTGGACGTGGACGTGGACGTGGACGTGGACGTGGACGTGGACGTGGACCTGGACGTGGACGTGGACGTGGACGTGGACGTGGACGTGGACATGGACGTGGACCTGGACCTGGACGTGGACGTGGACGTGGACGTGGACGTGGACCTGGACATGGACGTGGACCTGGACGTGGACGTGGACGTGGACGTGGTCGTGGACGTGGACGTGGTCATGGAAGTGGACGTGGACGTGGACGTGGACGTGGACATGGACGTGGACGTGGACATGGACATGAACATGGACATGGACATTGAAGTGGACGTGGACGTGGACATGGACGTGGACGTGGACGTGGACGTGGACATGGACGTGGACGTGGACGTGGACATGGACGTGGACATGGACATGGACGTGGACGTGGACGTGGACGTGGACGTGGACGTGGACATGGACGTGGACGTGGACGTGGACGTGGTCGTGGACGTGGACGTGGACGTGGACATGGACGTGGACGTCGACGTGGACGTGGACGTCGACGTGGACATGGACGTGGACGTGGATGTGGACGTGGACGTGGACATGGAGGTGGACGTGGACATGGACGTGGACGTGGACGTGGACATGGTCATGGACGTGGACCTGGACGTGGACGTGGACATGGACGTGGACATGGTCGTGGACGTGGACGTGGACGTGGACGTGGATGTGGACATGGACATGGACGTGGACGTGGACGTGGACGTGGACATGGTCGTGGACGTGGACGTGGAAGTGGACGTGGTCGTGGTCATGGTCGTGGACAAGGACGTGGACGTAGACGTGGACGTGGACGTCGACGTGGACGTGGTCGTGGACGTGGACGTGGACGTGGACGTGGACATGGACGTGGACGTGGACGTGGACGTGGACATGGACGTGGACATGGAAGTGGACGTGGACGTGGACGTGGACATGGACGTGGACATGGACGTGGACGTGGACGTGGACGTGGTCGTGGACATGGACGTGGACATGGACGTGGACGTGGACATAGACGTGGACGTGGACGTGGACGTGGACGTAGACGTGGACGTGGACATGGACGTGGACGTGGTCTTGGACGTGGACGTGGACGTGGACGTGGATGTGGACGTGGACGTGGTCGTGGACGTGGACGTGGATGTGGACGTGGACGTGGTCGTGGACATGGTCGTGGATGTGGACGTGGAGGTGGACGTGGACGTGGACATGGACGTGGACGTAGATGTGGACGTGGACGTGGACATGGACGTGGACGTCGACATGGACGTGGACGTGGACAGGGACGTGGACGTGGACGTGGACATGGAGGTGGACGTGGACATGGACGTGGACGTGGACGTGGACATGGACGTGGACGTGGACATGGACGTGGACGTGGACGTGGACTTGGACGTGGACATGGACGTGGACATGGACTTGGACGTGGACGTGGACGTGGACGTGGACATGGACGTGGACATGGACGTGGACGTGGACGTGAACATGGACGTGGACGTCGACGTGGACATGGACGTGGACGTGAACGTGGACGTGGACATGGTCGTGGACATGGACGTGGAAGTGGACGTGGACGTGGACATGGTCGTGGATGTGGACGTGGAGGTGGACGTGGACGTGGACATGGACGTGGACGTGGACATGGACGTGGACGTGGACAGGGACGTGGACGTGGACGTCGACATGGACGTGGACGTGGACATGGACGTGGACGTGGACGTGGACATGGACGTGGACATGGACATGGACGTGGACGTGGACGTGGACGTGGTCGTGGACGTGGACGTGGACATGGACGTGGACGTGGACGTGGACGTGGACGTGGACGTAGACATGGACGTGGACGTGGACGTGGACGTGGACGTGGACATGGACGTGGACGTGGACGTGGACGTGGACGTGGACATGGACGTGGACATGGAAGTGGACGTGGACGTGGACGTGGACATGGACGTGGACGTGGACGTGGACGTGGACATGGACGTGGACGTGGACATGGACGTGGACGTGGACGTGGACATGGACATGGACGTGGACGTGGACGTGGACGTGGACGTGGACTTGGACGTGGACATGGACGTGGACATGGACTTGGACGTGGACGTGGACGTGGACGTGGACATGGACGTGGACATGGACGTGGACGTGGACGTGAACATGGACGTGGACGTCGACGTGGACATGGACGTGGACGTGAACGTGGACGTGGACATGGTCGTGGACATGGACGTGGAAGTGGACGTGGACGTGGACATGGTCGTGGATGTGGACGTGGAGGTGGACGTGGACTTGGACATGGACGTGGACGTGGACATGGACGTGGACGTGGACAGGGACGTGGACGTGGACGTCGACATGGACGTGGACGTGGACATGGACGTGGACGTGGACGTGGACATGGACGTGGACATGGACATGGACGTGGACGTGGACGTGGTCGTGGACGTGGACGTGGACATGGACGTGGACGTGGACGTGGACGTGGACGTAGACATGGACGTGGACGTGGACGTGGACGTGGACGTGGACATGGACGTGGACGTGGACGTGGACGTGGACGTGGACATGGACGTGGACATGGAAGTGGACGTGGACGTGGACGTGGACATGGACGTGGACGTGGACGTGGACGTGGACGTGGACATGGACGTGGACGTGGACGTGGACATGGACGTGGACATGGACATGGACGTGGACGTGGACGTGGACATGGATGTGGACATGGACGTGGACGTGGACGTGGACGTGGACGTGGACGTGGTCGTGGACGTGGACGTGGACGTGGACATGGATGGGACGTGGACATGGACGTGGACGTGGACGTGGACGTGGACATGGTCGTGGACGTGGACCTAGACGTGGACGTGGACATGGACGTGGACATGGTCGTGGACGTGGACGTGGACGTGGACATGGATGTGGACATGGACGTGGACGTGGATGTGGACATGGACGTGGACATGGTCGTGGACGTGGACGTGGAAGTGGACGTGGTCGTGGTCGTGGTCGTGGACATGGACGTGGACGTGGACGTGGACATGGACGTGGACATGGACATGGACGTGGACGTGGACGTGGACATGGACGTGGACATAAACGTGGACATGAACGTGGACGTGGACGTGGACGTGGTCGTGGACGTGGACGTGGACGTGGACATGGATGTGGACGTGGACGTGGACGTCGACGTGGACATGGACGTAGACGTGGATGTGGACGTGGACGTGGACATGGACGTGGACGTGGACATGGACGTGGACGTGGACGTGGACGTGGGCATGGTCGTGGACGTGGACCTGGACGTGGACGTGGACATGGACGTGGACATGGTCGTGGACGTGGACGTGGACGTGGACGTGGATGTGGACATGGACGTGGACGTGGACGTGGACGTGGACATGCTCGTGGACGTGGACGTGGAAGTGGACGTGGTCGTGGTCGTGGACATGGACGTGGACGTGGACGTGGACGTGGACGTCGACGTGGACGTGGTATTCTTGCTATTTCGCGAACGCTAGGCCCTTGTTCTTGATTTTTTGCACACGCTAGGCCCTTGTTCTTGCTATTTTGCACTTGCTAGGCCCTTGTTCTTTTTATTTTGCACACGCTAGGTCCTTGTTCTTTTTATTTTGCACACGCTAGGCCCTTGTTCTTGCAATTTTGCACATGCTAGGCCCTTGTTCTTGCTATTTTGCACTTGCTAGGCCCTTATTCTTGCAATTTTGCACACGCTAGGCCCTTGTTCTTGCAATTTTGCACACGCTTGGCCCTTGTTTTTTTTATTTTGCACACGCTAGGCCCTTGTTCTTTTTATTTTGCACACGCTAAGCCCTTGTTCTTGCTATTTTGCACACGCTATGCCCTTGTTCTTTTTATTTTGCACACGCTTGGCCCTTGTTCTTGCAATTTTGCACATGCTAGACCCTTGTTCTTTTTATTTTGCACACGCTTGGCCCTTGTTCTTGCAATTTCGCGAACGCTAGGCCCTTGTTCTTGATTTTTTGCACATGCTAGGCCCTTGCTCTTGCTATTTTGCACTCCATAGGCCCTTGTTCTTGCAAATTTGCACACGCTAGGCCCTTGTTCTTGCTATTTTGCACACGCTAGGTCGTTGTTCTTTTTATTTTGCACACGCTAGGCCCTTGTTCTTTTTATTTTGCACATGCTAGGCCCTTGTTCTTGCTATTTTGCACACGCTATGCCCTTGTTCTTTTTATTTTGCACACGCTAGGCCCTTGTTCTTGCAATTTTGCACATGCTAGACCCTTGTTTTTTTTTTTTGCACATGCTAGGCCCTTGTTCTTGCTATTTCGCGAACGCTAGGTCCTTGTTCTTGATTTTTTGCACACGCTAGGCCCTTGCTCTTGCTATTTTGCACTTGCTAGGCCCTTGCTCTTGCAATTTTGCACGCGCTAGGCCCTTGTTCTTGCAATTTTGCACACGCTAGGCCCTTTTTCTTGCAATTTTGCACATGCTAGACCCTTGTTTTTTTTTTTTTGCTCATGCTAGGCCCTTGTTCTTGCTATTTCGCGAACGCTAGGTCCTTGTTCTTGATTTTTTGCACACGCTAGGCCCTTGCTCTTGCTATTTTGCACTTGCTAGGCCCTTGTTCTTGCAAATTGCACGCGCTAGGCCCTTGTTCTTGCAATTTTGCACACGCTAGGCCCTTGTTCTTGCAATTTTGCACACGCTAGGCCCTTGTTCTTTTTATTTTGCACACGCTTGGCCCTTGTTCTTGCAATTTTGCACATGCTAGACCCTTGTTCTTTTTATTTTGCACACGCTAGGCCCTTGTTCTTGCTATTTTGCACACGCTAAGCCCTTATTCTTGCAATTTTGCACACGCTAGGCCCTTGTTCTTTTTATTTTGCATACGCTAGGCCTTTGTTCTTTTTATTTTGCACACGCTAGGCCCTTGTTCTTGCTATTTTGCGAACGCTAGGCACTTGTTCTTGATTTTTTGCACAGGCTAGGCCCTTGTTCTTTTTTTTTTGCACACGCTAGGCCCTTGTTCTTGCAATTTTGCACACGCTAGGCCCTTGTTCTTGCAATTTTGCACACGCTAGGCCGTTGTTCTTTTTCTTTTGCACACGCTAGGCCCTTGTTTTTTTTATCTTGCACACGCTAGGCCCTTGTTCTTGCTATTTTGCACACGCTATGCCCTTGTTATTTTTTTTTTGCACACACTAGGCCCTTGTTCTTGCAATTTTTCACATGCTAGACCCTTGTTCTTTTTATTTTGCACACGCTAGGCCCTTGTTCTTGCTATTTCGCGAACGCTAGGCACTTTATCTTGATTTTTTGCACACGCTAGCTCTTGCTCTTGCTACTTTGCGCTCACTAGGCCCTTGTTCTTGCAATTTTGCACATGCTAGGCCCTTGTTTTTGCAATTTTGCTCACGCTAGGCCCTTGTTCTTTTTATTTTGCACACGCTAGGCCCTTGTTCTTGCTATTTTGCACACGCTATGCCCTTGTTCTTTTTATTTTGCACATGCTAGGCCCTTGTTCTTGCAATTTTGCACATGCTAGACCCTTGTTCTTTTTTTTTTGCACACGCTAGGCCCTTGCTCTTGCTATTTTGCACCCGCTAGGCCCTTGTTCTTGCAATTGTGCACACGCTAGGCCCTTGTTCTTGCAATTTTGCACACGCTAGGCCCTTGTTCTTGCAACTTTGCACTCGCTAGGCCCTTGTTCTTTTTGTTTTGCACACGCTAGGCCCTTGTTGTTTTTATTTTGCACACGCTAGGCCCTTGTTCTTGCTATTTTGCACACGCCATGTTTTTGTTCTCTTATTTTGCACACGCTATGCCCTTGTTCTTTTTTTTTTGCACATGCTAGGCCCTTGTTCTTGCTATTTCGCGAACGCTAGGTCATTGTTCTTGAATTTTTTGCACACGCTAGGCCCTTGCTCTTGCTATTTTGCACTTGCTAGGCCCTTGTTCTTGCAATTTTGCACGCGCTAGGCCCTTGTTCTTGCAATTTTGCACACGCTAGGCCCTTGTTCTTGCTATTTTTCACAAGCTAGGCCCTTGTTCTTGCAATTTTGCACACGCTAGGCCCTTGTTCTTTTTATTTTGCATATGCTAGGCCCTTGTTCTTTTTATTTTGCACACGCTAGGCTCTTGTTCTTGCTATTTTGCGAACGCTAGGCCCTTGTTCTTGCAATTTTGCACACGCTAGGCCCTTGTTCATTTATTTTGCACACGCTAGGCCCTTGTTCTTTTTATTTTGCACACGCTATGCCCTTGTTCTTTTTATTTTGCACACCCTATGCCCTTGTTCTTTTTATTTTGCACACGCTAGGCCCTTGTTCTTGAAATTTTGCACATGCTAGACCCTTGTTCTTTTTATTTTGCACACGCTAGGCCCTTGTTCTTGCTATTTCGCGAACGCTAGGCCATTGTTCTTGATTTTTTGCACACGCTAGGCACTTGCTCTTGCTATTTTGCACTCGCTAGGCCCTTGTTCTTGCAATTTTGCACATGCTAGGCCCTTGTTCTTGCAATTTTGCACATGCTTGGCCCTTGTTCTTTTTATTTTGCACACGCTAGGCCCTTGTTCTTGTTATTTTGCACACGCTATGCCCTTGTTCTTTTTATTTTTCACACGCTATGCCATTGTTCTTTTAAGTTTGCACATGCTAGGCCCTTGTTCTTGCAATTTTGCACATGCTAAACCCTTGTTCTTTTTATTTTGCACATGCTAGGCCCTTGTTCTTGCTATTTCGCGAAGGCTAGGCCCTTGTTCTTGATTTTTTGCACACGCTAGGCCCTTGCTCTTGCTATTTTGCACTCGCTAGGCCCTTGTTCTTGCGATTTTGCACACGCTAGGCCCTTGTTCTTGCAATTTTGCAAACGCTAGGCCCTTGTTCTTTTTATTTTGCACACGCTAGGCCCTTGTTCTTTTTATTTTGCACACGCTATGCCCTTGTTCTTTTTATTTTGCACATGCTAGGCCCTTGTTCTTGCAATTTTGCACATGCTAGACCCTTGTTCTTTTTATTTTGCACACGCTAGGCCCTTTTTCTTGCTATTTCGCGAACGCTAGGCCCTTGTTCTTGAGTTTTTGCACACGCTAGGCCCTTGTTCTTGCTATTTTGCACTCGCTAGGCCCTTGTTCTTTTTATTTTACACACGCTAGGTCCTTGTTCTTTTTATTTTGTACACGCTAGGCCCTTGTTCTTTTTATTTTGCACACGCTAGGCCCTTGTTCTTGCTATTTTGCACACACTATGCCCTTGTTCTATTTATTTTGCACACGCTAGGCCCTTGTTCTTGCAATTTTGCACATGCTAGACCCTTGTTCTCTTTATTTTGCACACGCTAGGCCCTTATTCTTGCTATTTCGCGAACGCTAGGTCCTTGTTCTTGATTTTTTGCACACGCTAGGCCCTTGCTCTTGCTATTTTGCACTTGCTAGGCCCTTGTTCTTGCAATTTTGCACGCGCTAGGCCCTTGTTCTTGCAATTTTGCACACGGTAGGCCCTTGTTCTTGCAATTTTGCACACGCTAGGCCCTTGTTCTTTTTATTTTTCACACGCTAGGCCCTTATTCTTGCTATTTTGCACACGCTATGCCCGTGTTCTTTTTATTTTGCACACGCTTGGCCCTTGTTCTTGCAATTTTGCACATGCTAGACCCTTGTTCTTTTTATTTTGCACACGCTAGGCCCTTGTTCTTGCTATTTCGCACACGCTAGGCCCTTGTTCTTGCAATTTTGCACACGCTAGGCCCTTGTTCTTTTTATTTTGCATACGCTAGGCCCTTCTTCTTTTTATTTTGCACACGCTAGGCCCTTGTTCTTGATTTTTTGCACACGCTAGGCCCTTGTTCTTTTTATTTTGCACACGCTAGGCCCTTGTTCTTGCAATTTTTCACATGCTAGACCCTTGTTCTTTTTATTTTGCACACGCTAGGCCCTTGTTCTTGCTATTTCGCGAACGCTAGGCCCTTTTTATTGATTTTTTGCACACGCTAGCCCTTGCTCTTGCTTCTTTAAGCTCGCTAGGCCCTTGTTCTTGCAATTTTGCACATGCTAGGCCCTTGTTCTTGCAATTTTGCACACGCTAGGCCATTGTTCTTTTTATTTTGCACACGCTAGGCCCTTGTTCTTGCTATTTTGCACACGCTATGCCCTTGTTCTTTTTATTTTGCACACGCTAGACCCTTGTTCTTGCAATTGTGCACACGTTAGGCCCTTGCTCTTGCTATTTTGCACCCGCTAGGCCCTTGTTCTTGCAATTGTGCACACGCTAGGCCCTTGTTCTTGCAATTTTGCCCACGCTAGGCCCTTGTTCTTGCAATTTTGCACTCGCTAGGCCTTTGTTGTTTTTATTTTGCACACGCTAGGCCCTTGTTCTTGCTATTTTGCACACGCCATGCCCTTGTTCTTGTTATTTTGCACACGCTATGCCCTTGTTCTATTTATTTTGCACACGCTAGGCCCTTGTTCTTGCAATTTTGCACATGCTAGACCCTTGTTCTCTTTATATTGCACACGCTAGGCCCTTATTCTTGCTATTTCGCGAACGCTAGGTCCTTGTTCTTGATTTTTTGCACACGCTAGGCCCTTGCTCTTGCTATTTTGCACTTGCTAGGCCCTTGTTCTTGCAATTTTGCACGCGCTAGGCCCTTGTTCTTGCAATTTTGCACACGGTAGGCCCTTGTTCTTGCAATTTTGCACACGCTAGGCCCTTGTTCTTTTTATTTTGCACACGCTAGGCCCTTATTCTTGCTATTTTGCACACGCTATGCCCGTGTTCTTTTTATTTTGCACACGCTTGGCCCTTGTTCTTGCAATTTTGCACATGCTAGACCCTTGTTCTTTTTATTTTGCACACGCTAGGCCCTTGTTCTTGCTATTTCGCACATGCTAGGCCCTTGTTCTTGCAATTTTGCACACGCTAGGCCCTTGTTCTTTTTATTTTGCATACGCTAGGCCCTTCTTCTTTTTATTTTGCACACGCTAGGCCCTTGTTCTTGCTATTTTGCGAACGCTAGGCCCTTGTTCTTGATATTTTGCACACGCTAGGCCCTTGTTCTTTTTATTTTGCACACGCTAGGCCTTTGTTCTTGCAATTTTTCACATGCTAGACCCTTGTTCTTTTTATTTTGCACACGCTAGGCCCTTGTTCTTGCTATTTCGCGAACGCTAGGCCCTTTTTATTGATTTTTTGCACACGCTAGCCCTTGCTCTTGCTTCTTTAAGCTCGCTAGGCCCTTGTTCTTGCAATTTTGCACATGCTAGGCCCTTGTTCTTGCAATTTTGCACACGTTAGGCCATTGTTCTTTTTATTTTGCACACGCTAGGCCCTTGTTGTTGCTATTTTGCACACGC